TGCCCCGTCACCACCACCATCACCACCTACCACAGACACCATCACCACCTACCACAGCCACCACCACCACCACCATCACGACCACCTACCACAGCCACCACCACCACCACCATCACGACCACCTACCACAGCCACCACCACCATCACGACCACCTACCACAGCCACCACCACCATCACCACCCCCACCAGCACCACTTATGCGCACAAAGTTCCTGGTGATGCGCATGCGCGTGGCAAGATAGGTACCTGGTGGTGCCTGGTTCCGCCCCACACCAAACGTCAGTTGGCCTCCAGGCGCTACAGGGAGCGGTGACCTCCGTCTCCGCTCTCCCTCCACATCACCTCTCATCATACAGGTCACCTAATACTGACCTAAATATGGCAAAGATCTGTATAAACAGATCTTTTATACAGTAATGCAAAGAATTAAAATATTAATCAAGAATATACAGAGATAATGTGTCATTTACATGTGTCAGTCTATGGTTTGGTGTTCCTTGCTGGAAAATGGAGTCTTTGTTATCGATATCGTTTCCGTTAGAATTTTGTATGTCGTTAACATGTCTACCCTGTATATTCACTCTTCTCTTTCACATATTTAAAGACATTTGACAACGATATGAATAATACACTATATAAATAATCAATAAATATTGTATTATGATACAACAGTAGCAATAAATATTGTATTATAATTCACCAATATCAACACATAATGTATTATGATAATACAATATTTGTTGATATTGTTGTATCATACAACAGTACCCCTGCAGTATTCTATAACAACTATATCAACGAATACATCCTTATACTCGTTTATCTGCCTAAAAATACATATTTTAAATTTCAACAAACAAAAATTTCCATATCCCGTATTTCGAGGTAATTAGGCATAACCAAGATGGGTCGACCAGAGTAAGGAACTAGAATGTAACTGACTTGAGAGGTCCTCGTAAGATTTGTCGTAAGTACAATGTAACTGACTTGAGAGGTCCTCGTAAGATTTGTCGTAAGTACAATGTAACTGACTTGAGAGGTCCTCGTAAGATTTGTCGTAAGTACAATGTAACTGACTTGAGAGGTCCTCGTAAGATTTGCCGTAACTGCATCTAATTTGATCCTCGCGAATGTAAATTATTTGTCTTAAAATGTATTTAAAATTTGTATGTTTCTATATTTTGTATTAATCCATTTTTAAAAATGACATGAATATTTATATATGATACTGATCTACAAACAGAGAGAGAGAGACAGAGAGAGGCAGAGAGATAGACACAGATAGAGAGACAGAGAAAGAGAGAGACGCGAGAGACAGAGAGAGAGAGAGAGGCAGAGAGATAAAGAGAGAGAGAGAGACAGAGACAGAGACAGACAAAGAGATATAGAGAGACAAGAAAGAAGAGAGAGAGAGAGAGAGAGAGAGAGAGAGAGAGAGAGAGAGAGAGAGAGAGAGAGAGAGAGAGAGAGAGAGAGAGAGAGAGAGAGAGAGAGAGAGACAGACAGAGATATACAGAGAGACAGAGATATACAGAAAGAGAGATGTAACAGCGGAAGAGTCAGTGGTGAGGAGATATCTCCTGGAGAACCGTTACCCGACCAGGTCATGACCTGGGGGGGGGGTGCCACGTGTATGCTTACACGTCTAGCTTACGGTTTATATTATATTATATTATATTATATTATATTATATAAGAGATCCTCGTTTAACAGGATCAAATTAACTCTCCAAAATTCATTCTTTTATTTTTGGTCTGACGCCTGAACGCGTTTTGTAATGCTTATTACATTTTCAAAGACTAGTTTACACATAACATAAATCATACTTAACATACGTACCTGTGGATGAAACAATCGGGATGATAGTGGACAGAGTGTATCGTGATCCGGCCTGTACTCCTCTTTACATACCAGAAAACATTCTAAGGAAACTACTCCAAGCTTGTACTAAAGAGGCACCCTTCTTGAGCCCTGAGGGGCACATGTATAAGCAAGTAGATGGGGTCGCCATGGGTTCTCCCCTAGGTGTCCTGTTTGCGAACTTCTACATGGGTACCATCGAGCAAAAGGGTCTTAGTCGACATGGACTTGAAACAGGCCATATACTGCAGGTATGTTGACATTTTTATGCAGGTACCTGAAGTCAGACGTCTGCAGCAGCTGAAGGAGGCATCCGAGCAGAATTCTGTGTTGAGTTTCACTTACGAGATGGAAAATGATGGGAAGCTGCCTTTTCTGGATGTAATAGTCACGGAAAGGAACGGAGGCTTCCATACTGCAGTCTACACTGGGGAAACAAACATAGGAATGTGCCTGAATGCCAATAGTGACTGCCCAGACAGGTACAAGAGGAGTGTTGTCAACGCTTACGTCGACCGGGCTCTCAGTCACAGCTCAGGATGGAAGCAAGTCGATGAAGAACTCTGTAGGGTAATGCAGGTCCTAGTCAACAATGGCTTCTCTAACGGTTATGTTGAAGACGTCATAAAAAGGAAGGTGAAACGCCATGCAACCTCTGAAGAGTCAACTAGCACAACACTTGTACCCCCTATTAGACTGTTTTAAAGGAACTTCTTTTCGACGGCTCATCAAACGGAGGAAAGGTTCCTGAAAGATATTAATAGGAACGTTATCCCTAGAGACAAAAATCAGAAAATACAATTGAAAATTTACTACAAAAACAAAAAAACGGCCAACCCACTCATGAAAAACTCTCCAGACACAAAGCAGAACGCCTTGAAGGAAACCAACGTCGTCTATGCCTTCACATGCCCACTTGGGGACTGTAAGCCCCAAAGAACTCAGTATATAGGCAAGACAACAACGTCTCTTTCTAGGCGATTAACAATGCACAAACAACAGGGCTCCATGAAGGAACATATAGTTTCTTCTCACAACCAGACCATCACCAGAGAGATCTTAACAAGCAACATAGAAATCATCGATAAATACAGCGATAGCAGGAGACTCGACATCAGCGAGGCACTACACATCAAAAAGTCAACACCAGCAATCAACAGCCAATTACTGCACAACTATATTCTACCCACTTCAAGACTCCCAAACCAACATTGAAGCAGCAAGAGGAAGTATGGGCCAATAGGCCTTCTGCAGTTACTTTCATTCTTGTGTTTTCATACCCATTGATTCGTGTTCTGTCTTAGCTTTGTCACATCACCCAAAACGAGTATAAGTATGATGTATGTTATGTGTAAACTGGTCTTTGAAAATGTAATAAGCATTACGAAACGCATTCAGGCATTAGACCAAAAATAAAAGAATGAATTTTGGAGAGTTAATTTTTCAATTACCCTCGACAGTGAAGAAAATCGTAAGTAATATTGAGAAGATTCGTGTTAGAATTATTAATATTACCCTTTGGGTCATATTCAACATCATATGTTGTTGAATAGCATATGAAAGACTGTTACCAAAATATACTAATATTATATATATATATATATATATATATATATATATATATATATATATATATATATATATATATATATATATATATATATATATATATATAGGGGCCCTCACCCAACACTAACACTCCCACATGAAAGATTGAGGGATGGGATGTGGGGAGTGTCATAACCCAGTTGAGGTCTGCCTAACCACCACCATTTAAAGAATATCAACATTTAACGTGACCCTCTGCGATTTTCAAGAATTAAATGAAATTGCAGATGTGTTTTCCGTAGATTTTTAAGCAGTTTTTGTTCAATGCGTCATAATATTTTCATTTTCTGAAAGAAAGGAAGGGACAGAGAGGGATAGACAGGAGGGACGTTGGGGGAGAGAAATACAGAGAGGGGGGGGAGAAGGTGAAGAGTGGGAGAGATGAGGGGAGGAGAAAACTGAAAAGGGTGTGGGAGAAGGAAAAAGGGGGGATAGAGGAAGGATGATTATAGAGGGGGGGTAAGATTGGGAAAGAGAAGGGAGCAGAGAAAGAGAGGCCCAGGGCGCAGCCGAGTACCTCTTTTAGTACCATATAAGAATGTCTGTCTCTCTGTCCAGAGTTGGAGGTCAAACGCTTTAGGGCTAACCTCACTCAACTTTGCAAGGGCAATGGTCTGCGGTACGGGACAGACATAGGGTGCTCGTGATTGGCCTAAATACTAACACTTTAAGAAATATTCCCCAGTACCCCCGTCCTCCACTAGGAGGCATAAAGGGATGTGAAAGTACAGAATCTGGTGAGTAAAAGATACATTCTCGCAAAGCCACGAATATCTGCGATTGTTTACAATCATCCACGCAACTAGGGTTTCCCGTGGAGACGACTCCCCGTCAGCTGGACAGGCCAGGGCAGTGGAACGTCTGTTAATCTCTGTCTCACAAGGACGTCTGTTTCTCCTGTCTCCCAGTTCTTTGCTTTCTCAATTGTAATATTAACGTATTTAATAAGAAAATGTGATGTGTGTCTTGATTCACTTACAAGACATTTTTTTTCTTGATTCGTTGGTAAATAAAAAAAAAACAAGTTTGTTTTTGTGTAGATTATTATTAATTAACTTTTTAAACGTTCTGTAAAACTTAACAAAGACTTTCCTGAAATGTTTTGTTCATGTTTCAACAAGGATAATTCGTGATAGTTTTCATACCCATTTCGGTATAGTGTGTAAGAATGTTTATTTCTAAGTGGAACAAAATATTATTTGTCTTAATTGTTAGTTGGTGCTAACGAGTTATTATCTCTTCCTTTCCTTCGTCTTGTTCTCGGTGACACATCCTCTGCTCTGACCTGCCACGTGTCCTACCTCACACCCCTGTGTCCGTGTCCGCCCTCACCCCTGTGTCCGGGTCCCCCTGTGTCCTCCCTCATCTCTGTGTCCACCCTCACCCCTGTGCTCATGTGCCCCTGTGTCCGTGTCCCCCTGTGTCCGCCCTCACCCCTGTGCTCGTGTGCCCCTGTGTCCGTGTCCCCCTGTGTCTCCCTCACCCCCGTGTCCCCCCTGTGTACGGGTCCCTGACGGCTTGGGCGGCCCAGGGCCGTGTCGACACGCATCGTGGCGGGCATCTGGTGGTTCTTCACCCTGATCATGATCTCCTCCTACACGGCCAACCTGGCCGCCTTCCTCACCGTCGAGAGGATGGACTCCCCCATCGAGAGCGCTGAGGACCTCGCCAAGCAGACCAAGATCAAGTACGGCTGCAAGCAGGGCGGCTCCACCTACGCCTTCTTCAGGTAATATTGCCATGGGGGTGAGGGGACGGGGTGCCTAATCTATCATTTACGTTTTTTGTATGTGTTTGTGTATTCACGTAGTTGTGCTTGCGGGGGTTGAGCTTCGACTCTTTCGGCCTGTGTGTGTGTGTGTGTGTGTGTGTGTGTGTGTGTGTGTGTGTGTGTGTGTGTGTGTGTGTTAATGCACATAACGTACTATGTATATTATCAACTTGCAGTATGTGTCATCTGAGTGACAAACATTCAGTGTATCTATGTAGTCACATTTGCTCAAAATTACCATTGCATTAGACCAGCCTCCGGTGATGTGCACATTCCTCTCCACAATTTTACAAGTTGAACAATCTACATTTACAGTTAGGCAGCTCAAGCGTAAACGCGGCTCCGTAAACAGCCTTTCCAAACACACTTTTGTCCTCATTTTGTAAATCACTATTCCTCCATTTTCTATATAATACAATTTTCAGAATTCTTGATGCGTCGACACTAAATCAAAGACTTTATTCATAAAATATTTGTACGCTATTAATTGGGAAAGTTTACATAACAAATACAGTACATTAATTACATAAAAAAGTTACAGTAACACAGACGGTACTTGGACACTGTCATTACCGGCAGCACATTAGGCTGTATCCGTCACAGCCTAACACAAATCACTGCGCAGCACTGGCTGGACCTAAGCAGGTGTACAAAAGTCTAAATCAAGCTTATATTTCAGACGGCAGTGTCCTGAACTAAGCTTGTGACAGGTAGACTGGTCAACACGGAGGTGCTGACACGGTTTAACCAAAAGCACAATTTGCCATCGAGTTTACGATGAAATATATTATTATCAATAAAAAAAACACTGATTTGATTTTCTTGTTTCGGTAATCATATACCGGAAAACCTTACAAACAAATATTAATTGGGCAAAATATGTCAACATATTTTTTTAAGATAAATTTATCCGATACAAAAATTAGATAAAAATACTACAACTATGTATAACTATGGCCTCGGTTACACCGGATACAAAATTTTGAAATAGCCCCCAACAAAAATTTTTGCTAAAAAATGTAAAAAAAGTGTCCAAATAATTTTGGAAATGAATTGCAGAAATTGAAATTGACACTGCGCGACAGAGACGCTGTGGCGTACACAGTTCTGGACAAAGAGTTCTTTTTACATATTACCATGCTGAAATAATGGGGTGGGGGTTGGGGGGGGGGGGGAGACGTAACCCGTTGCAAAGTGGCGCTGTAGTATAATGATACAGTTACAGTTGGTGGAGTGGGGTGAGGCGGACGAATGGGGAGGAGGGGAGAGGGGGATATCTCAGAGTCTCTGGAAGCCCTTACATAGAAAAATTATGATTTGTTTACATCTGACAAATATATATACGGGCAGCCCTGACTCCCCACCTTCAGGGACAACAGCACCCCATAGATGTCCCCACCCCATACATGTCCCCAACATGTGCCCCCCTTGTCCCTGACCCCCGTGTCTCCCCCCAACCTCCAGGGACAGCAGTATTCCCACCTACCAGAGGATGTGGTCGGCCATGTCGAGCGCGCGGCCCTCGGTCTTCACCGTCAGTAACGACGCCGGCGTGGAGAGGGTGGCGAAGGCTGATGGCCAGTACGCCTTCCTTATGGAGTCCTCCTCCATCGAGTACGAGGTGGAGCGCAAGTGTGATCTTACGCAGGTGGGCGGACTCCTTGACTCCAAGAGCTACGGCATCGCTCTGCCTCCAAGTGAGTATCAGAGGGTGGTGGTAGTGGTTCTCAAGGTAAAGGGTAATGACCAGGAGAAACCAGCAAATCGGATTCTGAGTATTCAGTCGATTTATGTTTCTGAAGGAAGATGATATTTGCAGAGGTACAGTGAGTGCCGAAGAACATATACCTATGTGGTTATTGAACCAATAATGCATACGGGGCCTCGGGCAAGTTGAGCATAATGTAATATCATTGTAAACGTATATTAGTGGGTTTAATGAATACTGAAGTAATATTTTCTCTTGCCTCCTTTCCGTTGGCCAGATTCCCCGTACACGAGCTCCATCAGTTCCGCCGTCTTGAAGCTGAAGGAGGACGGCAAGCTGCACATGTTAAAGAACAAGTGGTGGAAAGAGCGGAAAGGAGGAGGGCGTTGTCAGGTAAGAACAACTGATAGGAGAGAACCTTATGAAGGCATTCGATTGCGGTTTATGGGCAGTCTCCCCTACACTCACCAGTAAAATAAACCTATGGAAAACGGGATAGTTTAGAGCTTTCCAGATAAAATACAGTGATTATTTCGTATATACTTGAATATATATATCGTATTATTTATCTGTAATTATATATATGAGTGTGTGTGTGTGTGTGTGTGTGTGTGTGTGTGTGTGTGTGTGTGTGTGTGTGTGTGTGTGTGTGTGTGTGTGTGTGTGTGTGTGTGCGCAGAAACCCCACAGAGAAATGGGAAAAAGGGAGTTGAACGTTTCGGCTAGTTAAGAGCCTTTCTCAACAACATTCTGGCTAAGTCTGGTGTTGAGAATTATAATATTGTATTATGTATTACAAATATTATATATTTGTTCCATGAGGCTTCTTTGTTTATTCTCTCATACTTATTCTCTGACCGCTTGACTGTTCTTAGCTACTCTACACCTGCTGCTAGCTCCACCTCTCCCTGGGGATGGGTGGTCAGGTCTCAGACGTTGGCCTCCACCCTCCCTCTGCTCCTCTTAGCCAGTCTCTTGTTGAGAAAGGTTCAAACTAGCCGAAACGTTCAATTCCCTTTCCCCCATTTCTCTGCGGGGTTTCTGCATAACTATGCAATGCCCGATTTACCTTATAGGCAGAGTGATTTTCGGTATTTTCCAAAAAATAAAAAATTCAAATGAGTTTATTTGAATATTATCATATTATATCAAGGACGTGATTTACTAACTTAGTTATATTGGTTTAGGTTAAGCTAACTTAAGATAGGTTGGGTTAGGTAAGTTTGGTCATATTTCAACGTTAGTTTTAGCTCAAATGAAAAAAAATGTGTTCGTATATAATGTAATGGAAAGCTTTATAATTTCATAAAAAATGAATATTTAACGTCATGAAAATTTGGCCTATTAGGCAAATCGGGCCTTGCATAGTAGGCCAAGTAGTGCATTCTGGTATATTAGGTACACACACACACACTATATATATATATATATATATATATATATATATATATATATATATATATATATATATATATATATATATATATATATATATATATATATATATATATATATATATATGTCGTACCTAGTAGCCAGAACGCACTTCTCAGCCTACTATGCAAGGCCCGATTTGCCTAATAAGCCAAGTTTTCATGAATTAATGTATTTTCTCTATTTTTTTTCTTATGAAAAGAGAAAGCTACCCATTTCATTATGTATGAGGTCAATTATTTTTTATTGGAGTTAAAATTAACGTAGATATATGACCGAACCTAACCAACCCTACCTAACCTAACCTAACCTATCTTTATTGGTTAGGTTAGGTTAGGTAGCCGAAAAAGGTAGGTTAGGTTAGGTTAGGTAGGTTAGGTAGTCGAAAAATAAATAATTCATGAAAACTTGGCTTATTAGGCAAATCGGGCCCTGCATAGTAGGCTGAGATGAGTGTTCTGGCTACTAGGTACGACATATTATATATATATATATATATATATATATATATATATATATATATATATATATATATATATATATATATATATATATATTAGTCGACTGGTTTGAGGCGTCAGGCAATTAAGACGTTAACCTGGTCGAGAAACATTTGTCAACACAACAACCCAACGGTTGTGTTAATTAAAACCAAATACAAAAGCGATTCAAAAATGGTTGTAAATTTATAATTGAGTTTTCGCAAAATTTCAGTACATTATTTACATATTAAGATATAGTCATAATAACGACATCAAACGTATTCATTAATGTTAAACTTAGATGGAACATTATATTTCAGAGAGGGTAGGGGGCGGGGGTAAGAGAGAGAGAGAGAGAGAGAGAGAGAGAGAGAGAGAGAGAGAGAGAGAGAGAGAGAGAGAGAGAGAGAGAGAGAGAGAGAGAGAGAAACTACAGCAATATCAACACAGTTCTTGGGTTCCACCACCCTGCCCTCGGAACCTTCACTGAACACCGCAACAAAAAAATCATATACTTCCCCTTCAAAAGCACTCTCTTCTGGCAGCCTCGTGTGTGTATCTCTACCACCTTGTGTGTGACTTAGTTGCGTAGACCGTCACTGTAGATCACGGTAGTCCAGTAGCTGTTCGCTCGTAGCATTGCGATGTCCTCTCTTGGCTTATACGTGAGAGGTTACTGTCAGTGAGTGTCTAGCTCGAAGTACCAAGCCAACCGAAGCCGTAGTTGACCGTAGAGTTGTTGAGTGTGTATAACCACAAGGGCTAGTGCCGTCGTCGCCGCCACCTCCGACCCCTCCGCTGCAGCTACTGCTGGGGAGAAGCTGTCTGTGATCAAGGTGGACCTCCAACAGTTAAGGAAGACCTCTTGATTGGTAGAGGGAAGACCTCGAGGTTTCTTCAGCCCGCCCCCCCTCCCCTCCCCTCACTCCTCTCACCCACAGCAGCTAACAGCTACCCACGCCCTCTCTCAGGACTATAATATCTTTAAGGACTCGTTTACTCTCCTGTACCTTAATCGTAGTCTCTCTCACTCTCTGGAGGCGTTCTCTCTGTCACTTTCATCATCATCATCCCCATGAGACCCTTCTCTCAACGTCCATCTTTCTACCTCCTTTCTCAGCCTCCGTAAACTCTCACAGAGTTTCCCCGTGATCTTCCCTTTCATCTTCTACACGCTCCGTTGACATTCACACCCTCTCTCCACCCCCAACTGCCCCCCCCCCTCCCTCCCTCCCACCCTCCCTCTCGCATCATGCCTCTCCTGCTCTTCTGGTGTTCCTTCCTGCCCCCCGCACGTTCCTCGAGCACTTGGGGGGAACAACGTACTGTTACTGCTACTTCGACTGCACAGACTTGGGCCCCTTTTGTCTTCTCCTAGCGACACCTGTCCTGTCCGATTGTTTCTCCGTGTTTATCCCCATTACCTTCCTTCCCTCTCCCTTCCTTTGGCTTTATTTGGCGTGCTTCCTGTTTCTACACCTTCTCCTTCCCCGTGTATGTATATGATGGTTCCTGTTGTTTTTTTCCTTTCCACCTCCTTTAAAGTTTTTATTTGAATTTATACATATTTTATAAGCTTCTTACGTCTTTCTACCCTTCTTCATCATGGTCTCTGCTTCTTGACCCAAATCTTCCTTCGCTACATGTTGCTGTGACCTCTCATCCAAGCCCTTTCCTCTCCACCTCTCCTACCAGGACTGGGAGCTGAGAACTCCATGAGAACTTTATAAGAATCCTTCGGCAAATTCCCTCAAGACTGCTGTGAATTTCCTGAGAATTTAAATCCTCCAGAATATCCTAGGAATTGCTCTGCAAATTCCTTCAAACTTGAATTAAACTCCCATCACCAGCTCTCACAGCGACCCAAACTCTACCACCACCGACTGCTGGGGGCTGGAGCACCCTGCTGCATTAATTTATGTGTTGTGTTTTAGCATGAATACTTTATTTAGCATGAATAGCACGAGGAGTTGCCATGCATGCCTCTAAATTTGAAACTCTCTCACTCTCTCTCTCTCTCTCTCTCTCTCTCTCTCTCTCTCTCTCTCTCTCTCTCTCTCTCTCTCTCTCTCTCTCTCTCTCTCTCTCTCTCTCTCTCCAGAGTACATCCACCCGTCCCATCCAGTTACTATGGTCAGGTCAACTGGAACAGACACTATACATATATTATATATATATATATATATATATATATATATATATATATATATATATATATATATATATATATATATATATGACTGGCGCCTGTTCCAGTGCTTTGACTCCAGGTCCTCCTGATTGTAACAGGTGATTGGGACACATATGTGTTAATTTTGACCTCTCATGACCTGAGCTTCTATGTGTCCTGCGCTATGTTTGACACGCATGTGGCTTGTGCTATGTTGCCACCCATGTGTCCGGTGTTGCGCTACAGTCAACATATCCTGTGTGTGTGTGTGTGTGTGTGTGTGTGTGTGTGTGTGTGTGTGTGTGTGTGTGTGTGTGTGTGTGTGTGTGTGTGTGTGTGTGTGTGTGTGTGTGTGTGTGTGTGCACATCAACGTATGACTCCTGGCATGTGTTTACCTATTTTGTTTTGTCATATTTCAACCATCTACGTGTTTATGTTTTTGTGTCTCCAACACCTCATGTGTTCAGCACCCTATGTGTTCAGCACGCTATGTGTTCAACACCCTATGTGTTCAGCACCCTGTGTGTTCAGCACCCTATGTGTTCAGCACCCTGTGTGTTCAGCACCCTGTGTGTTCAGCACCCTATGTGTTCAGCACCCTGTGTGTTCAGCACCCTGTGTGTTCAGCACCCTATGTGTTCAGCACCCTATGTGTTCAGCACCCTGTGTGTTCAGCACCCTGTGTGTTCAGCACCCTATGTGTTCAGCACCCTATGTGTTCAGCACCCTGTGTGTTCAGCACCCCATGTGTCCAGCATCCCTCCAACATCCTATGTTTCCAGCATCTCACGTGTCCGGCATCCCATGTGTCCAACACCCCACGTGTCCAGCATCCCAATATCTCCACCACCTCATGTGTCCAGTACCACATGTGTCCAGCTAATAATACACTCAGCCTCCCATGACAAATTTGGTAAATATTGTGACTTTTATTTTCCAATATGCACTTCGTTCCTCATCCATGTGTCCTCACCCACGTGTCCTCACCCACGTGTCCTCACCCACGTGTCCTCATCCACGTGTCCTCACCCACGTGTCCTCATCCACGTGTCCTCACCCAAAGTGTTCTAACACTGATTTTTGTCTTTGCGTCTCCTGGACCAGAATTCACGAAGCATTTACGCATTCATTTACGCAACCACTTACGAGGTTGTTTATACAAATAATAACCTTGAGGGGGGGCGGGGGGTTGTGAAGTGTTCCCCAGCCTGTAAACACACGTAAACAAAGCCGCCATGATCGTTGCAGGATGCACAGGTTTCGTACGACCATACGTCAATGCTTGGTGAATCCTGCCATTTTCCCCTCCTTCTCTTATCTTCCTTTCCTTTACTGCCACCACTGTGGCTGCTTCACTGTCTCCACTGTGGCTGCTTCACTGTCTCCACTGTGGCTGCTTCACTGCCTCCACTGTGGCTCCTTCACTGCCTCCACTGTGGCTGCTTCACTGTCTCCACTGTGGCTGCTTCACTGCCTCCACTGTGGCTCCTTCACTGCCTCCACTGTGGCTGCTTCACTGTCTCCACTGTGGCTGCTTCACTGCCTCCACTGTGGCTCCTTCACTGCCTCCACTGTGGCTGCTTCACTGTCTCCACTGTGGCTCCTTCACTGCCACCACTGTGGCTCCTTCACTGCCTCCACTGTGGCTGCTTCACTGTCTCCACTGTGGCTCCTTCACTGCCACCACTGTGGCTCCTTCACTGCCACCACTGTGACTCCTTCACTGCCACCACTGTGGCTCCTTCACTGCCTCCACTTTGGCTGCTTCACTGCCACCACTGTGGCTCCTTCATTGCCTCCACTGTGGCTCCTTCACTGCCACCACTGTGGCTCCTTCGCTGCCACCACTGTGGCTGCTTCGCTGCCACCACTGTGGCTCCTTCGCTGCCACCACTGTGGCTCCTTCACTGCCACCACTGTGGCTCCTTCGCTGCCACCACTGTGACTGCACCACTGCCAACGTTACCACTACAACTGTAGCTGATGACAGTGCTTCCACTGCTACTCTACAACCCCCACTGTCGCTTGCTTTGTAAAGGTGTTACCCCCCCCCCCCACTGCAATCTTAACCACTAGCAACTACTCTTATTGCTTGCCTCCTCCTTCACCACCACCCCCAGCACCACCATCCCCGTCCCTACCACCACCATCACCACCATCCCCGTCCCACCACCATCCCCATCACCACCATCCACAAATCCGTCTCTGCCACTGCTCACATCCACCTACTCCCACACTGCTGCTTTCACTCCTACCCACATATCCCCCCACTGCCCCCAGGGTCACCACTGCTCCTGCACTATCCCTCACCCACTAACCCATCTATCCCTGGATAGCGGGAGGCGTCCTCGACGAAGACGAGTGGGGCGGCCGAGCTGGGACTGGCCAACGTGGGCGGCGTCTTCGTTGTGTTGTTGGGAGGCATGGGCATCGCTGCCTTTATGGCCGTCTGCGAGTTCATGTGGAACGCCAGAGAGCTGGCCACTGACGAGAGTGTGAGTATCCCCCCAGGGGTAGTGTGTGTGTGGGTGGGTGTGTGGTGTGTGTTGTGGGAGGGTGTGTGTGGGTGTGTGTGGGGGTGTGTGTGGGTGTTGTGGGAGGGTGTGTGTGGGTGCGTGTGGGGGTGTGTGGGGGTGTGTGGGGGTGTGTGTGGGTGTTGTGGGTGTGTGTGGCGGGGGTGTTGAGTGTTGTGTGTGTGTGTTTGTGGGAGGGTGTGTGTGTTGTGGGAGGGTGTTGAGTATGCGTGTGGGTGTGTTAAGGGTTTTGTGTTGAGGGTGTTGAGGGATGGTGTGTGTTGATGGTGTGTGTTGGGGTGTATGAAGAGGATGTTTATTGAGGGTGTTGAGTCTGATGAGTGTGCTATCTGATGAGTCTGTTGTGTTATGAAAGTCTGTTGAGTGTCTTGAGGGAGTCTGTTGAGTGTCTTGAGGGAGTCTGTTGAATCTGTGTTGATGAAGCATATCATGAGAAATTCATATAATAATAATAATAAGCAGCCAATATAGTTTGCATCAATAGCTAGCCCTGTCCCAACCTCGTGGACAGACCTCCTGTCATAAAAATCCCGACCTCAGTAGCGGTCCTCAGCGTTGCCAGCTGCTGACCCGAGCCCTCTTGCAGGCGTCGTTCTGTGACGAGCTGAGCAATGAGGTCAAGTTCATCATCAAATGCTCTGGCAACACCAAGCCCGTGAGGAAGAGGGCCCCGTCCACGCCCGAGGAGCCGCTCTTCACCTATGGCTCCTATGGCGCCAATTATGGCTACTCGCAAAGGAAGTGATCTCCGTTGACGACGCCCGTCACCACTCCACTCACGTCGTCGACTTGAGGCGTCACGACACCTTCACGATCGGCTCCAGGTCGTTCAGATGAGAATTCGTTGTGTTCAATAAAGATGTCGATTCGAACGATCAACTGTAAAATCTGATGTTTACCGAGCGACGAGGACGGTTGTCGGCTGTGGCGTCTTCTGCTCGTTTCAGGTCGGCGAGTGTAACGGCCCGAGGATGACACTCTAAAATACTTTATTCAGTGTTTGACGGTCAATCATATAAGAAGAAAATAAAAAGACACTGACCCATTCCTGCTTGAGGACATTTCCACCACAAAATTAAAAATTAATTAACTGGTCACAAATCTTTTACAGAACAGAGAGCGAGCGCACTCAGAGGGCTCCTCGACTCACTAGCGACGTTCTCATGTCAGGGCTGCCGTAGATAGTACACTAAGTCACCACTAGAGTGTAACAGCGCTTACCCACTCCGGAGAACGAGAGAGAACGGAATTCGAGTACTCTTCGCCTCCGTTCTCTCTTGTCTTCCATCTCTTTGTTAACAGAACGCGGCCGCTTCCTCTTAATGTCTAGAGAACACAGAGCTCTGAAAATTACGTTTGGATAGAATGCGGCTTCGCCATATAGAGGAACAAATAGCCAGGACCATAACTGTTGTCAACAGTCTTTATATATGTATATATATATTATTTTATTATCCCCTCAGTTGCATGGGCGACTAATTACCTTACAGCCGCCACTCAGCAATGGACCATTAGCGTAAAAATAAGAGTTTTGAAACCAAAACAAGTAATCACATGTTATCCAAAGGAAATTGTCAAACCGCGCATGAGTTATAACCTGTGAAAGGGAATTGCATTGAGACGAGATGTCAGCAGATTGGATTTTTTTTGCTCTGAAACAAGGACACATTGACAGGTGGTAGTACACACAAGCAGAGGTGCCAGACGCATGATGCATATAAACCGCATGGCCACGCATCACAATCATTATTAACACCATTCATTACCATCTTTTGTGTTTGAAGAAGCATTTAATTTGTATGAAAACAGGAATATTGCAATTGTGGAATCTACAGCAGGGGAACCCCATAATCTAACAGTAGACAGTTGAGGCTCCCAGCTGACTGATAATTTGGTCTACTTGTCGAATGAAGAAATGTTAGCATTGGTAATGATGATGATAATTATGATAATGATGGACGTATTGCATGATAACTCAACCACCACCAACAATATGGGTGAATCAAATATTACCTCCACCCCCCGGAGCTGCCTCGTATGGGCCAATAGGCCTTCTGCAGTTACCTTTGTTCTTATGTTCTTATGTTTTTATCTCCCTATTTCCCTCCCTCCCATTCCCCTATTATTTTAGTACCGCCCGACACGTCCAATCTCTGATGTAACTACAACAACTCATTGCATGAACTTCCGAATTAAACAGTATATCCAAAATTTCTAAACTTTGTTCCAGGTAGGTACAATACTCCTTTTTTTATATGAGATCAACGTGAAGATCTTCCAGGGTTCCTTGAGTGTGTCTATTAATAAGATCTTCCAGGGTTGTGTAAATGTATTAGTCCAGCCCTCCTGGAAAACTGGTCCCGGGTCTTGAAGACTGAAGACTCTAAATGGTCTTTCTGGACGGTGTTCTCGAGAGGCCACGGGGGGTGATAGTCTACAATGGTCTACAAGAGGGTAGACGCCTCAACTGAGGGGATTCTAGTTTAAGGCTGGGCTTCGGAGGACTAGTCTGAGGTAGTTCAAAAAGGGTTAGGAAATAGTGAAGATTCAGGTATTTATGGTAATGCTTACACACACACACTCACACACAGGTGAGTACTAGGTGAGTATACACACACACACACTCTCACTCACACAAACACACACACCACGCAAGTCTAAGAACAGGCCTTTACATAACAGTAATTCCAGAAAGGACTGAAACTTGAAGTTCCTTCATAGTTAAATTTCAGGCTATGCGGAGTATTGTGTATATATATATATATATATATATATATATATATATATATATATATATATATATATATATATATATATATATATATATATATATATATATATAACAGTTTTTTATCCATATCCTAACTTTATTCAATATATCTCTCTAGTTAAATAATAATTTATTTTGCTTTTTTTTCTATCATAGTTTTAAAATGCGTCCCTTTCCCTTCAAGTACTATGAGCAATGATCCGTGAGACAATGGAGGTTCGCCAGGCGTTAGTTGAAACAATACGTTCGCCAGGCGTTAGTTGAAACAATACGTTCGCCAGGCGTTAGTTGAAACAATACGTTCGCCAGGCGTTAGTTGAAACAATACGTTCGCCAGGCATAAGTACGCCAGAGCAAGTTCTTTTAACCTTTCACATGCCCATTATTACATCCATATACATATACATCTACATCTACACAAATTACAAAAAATATTTAGAGAAAACTCCATATATTTCCATTAATTATATAATAGTTCAATTCTAATATTCATATCACTTACTCAATATTGGAAAAAATGAGTGACCCTTATTTTAAAGTTTTTCTTTCAGAATGTAGAGGAAAATGTTAGTCTGAGTAAATAAAGATATTTGGCAAAAATAGTCTAAAAATAAATATTTTGTATATATATATTTTTTGTGTGTGAGGTATATATTTAATACCAAGGTTTTTCTTTTAATAGGTAATAATAAAGATGTATTATTTTTTAATTATTAGGATTTATAAACAGAATTCAATATTAAAAAATTTCAACTACAAATAAATGTCAGTTACCATAAGCCGTTGTCCTTCAGTGAATCCATAAACGGTAATGGACGTGAGTAGCACTCTAAGGGTTAAGACATACAGACTTATGTGGAGTCAATTCACAAGGCGTTTTTCCCGCCATGTTGTGGATCCAGATTTACTAAACACCGGTTGGACAATGGTAAGTTTACCTGAGAGAGTTTATATAGGAGTTAGGCGCCAGGTGAAGGCTCACAAGACACAGAGTCGCCTATGACACAGAGTCGCCTATGACACAGAGTCGCCTATGACACAGAGTCGCCTGTATATTCTCTTTATGACACAGAGTCACTTGGCATAGATCTCCGCTCTACCACTGGTCCAAGGCGCCGTATAGTGTGTTCTGGAACCGTCTTAAAACCCGCAGTGTGAACTGGATATTCGTTTCCATACAAATAAAATATAATCACTGAACTTGTGCTTAAAAACAATTCACTTACAGAGAACTGTTTATATGACACCATATTTGTAATGTATATATTTCTCATATTCTCTGCCAATTTTATATGTGTACTTGCTGCATCTGTCTGTACACTTCAGGTCCATTTGTAGATGGTAGGAATATCTTATATGTTTGGTGCCAATTGAAAACTATTTATAAGAGAGCTTAACAGTGTTTCTTTTCATTTCTCCTCTTTGTATCGTAAGAACTAGTAGCTTCCATCAGTTAAGGTTTCTTGGGACTGTTACTGTAATACTGGGTAATTGTCTTAACGTAGTGTGCTTGTATTATGTACCTGGAAGGCCGTGTATGTGGGAGGGGGGGGCGACACCAGATCCTCCTGTGCCAGGTCCACTACGGGTTCACCATAGCCCGTGCTACTTGCAAAATTTTGTTCCGAGTAGCTGAATCTAAAGCAACAACAACAGCGCCTGTGTCTCGTTTGCCCATCCACAGAAGCATGCCTTACCCACATGAACACACCTTACCCACAAGAATGTGACTTAATTACCCACAGGAACACAGCTTACCCATAGGAACGTGCCTTACCCCACAGGAACGTACCTTATTACCCACAGGAACGTGCCTTACCCACAGAAACATGCCTTACCCACAGGAACACACCTTACCCACAGGAACACACCTTACCCACAGACACTTAAGTCATTCAACATGAATGAATTACTCATGGGCGAGGTTGTTAGATATAGTTAGCTTTAGAGGATAGCAAGTGGGGCTATGTATAGCCGTAGTCCCCATACACGCTACCTGGTGGTCTTGTTCCACTCCCCCCTCTCCCTGGTGGTCTTGTTCCACTCCCCCCTCTCCCTGGTGGTCTTGTTCCACTCCCCCCTCTCCCTGGTGGTCTTGTTCCACTCCCCCCTCTCCCTGGTGGTCTTGTTCCACTCCCCCCTCTCCCTAGTGGTCTTGTTCCACTCCCCCCTCTCCCTGGTGGTCTTGTTCCACTCCCCCCTCTCCCTGGTGGTCTTGTTCCACTCCCCCTCTCCCTGGTGGTCTTGTTCCACTCCCCCCTCTCCCTGGTGGTCTTGTTCCACTCCCCCCTCTCCCTGGTGGTCTTGTTCCACTCCCCCCTCTCCCTAGTGGTCTTGTTCCACTCCCCCCTCTCCCTAGTGGTCTTGTTCCACTCCCCCCTCTCCCTGGTGGTCTTGTTCCACTCCCCCCTCTCCCTGGTGGTCTTGTTCCACTCCCCCCTCTCCCTGGTGGTCTTGTTCCACTCCCCCCTCTCCCTGGTGGTCTTGTTCCACTCCCCCTCTCCCTGGTGGTCTTGTTCCACTCCCCCCTCTCCCTAGTGGTCTTGTTTCACTCCCCCCTCTCCCTGGTGGTCTTGTTCCACTCCCCCCTCTCCCTGGTGGTCTTGTTCCACCCCCTCTATAGTCCTGTTCCACTCCCAAGTTGTAATGGTCCACCTCCCTCTACCTCGTCGCCCCTGGCAGAGTTCTGCCCTCACTAACACACCTCTGAAGTCACGGTTCTCGTTCTGGCTTCATAAGTTCTCCCATCGACCTCCTACTGACCTCCAGACCTTGCTGCTGTTGACGTCAAGACCTCCTAAAACTGTTGACGTCAAGACCTCCTAAAACTGTTGACGTCAAGACCTCCTCCAACTGTTGACGTCAAGGCCTCGTATTGTTACATATAAACCTCCTCCTACTGTACTGACTTCAAGACCTCGTCCAACTGCGGACATCAAAACCTCTTCTGTCGACCCCACGACCCTCTTCTGTCGACCACACGACCCTCGTCTGTTGACCCCACGACCCTCTTCTGTCGACCCCACGACCCTCTTCTGTTGACCCCACGACCCTCTTCTGTTGACCTCACGACCCTCTTATGTTGACCCCACGACCCTCTTCTGTCGATCTCAGGACCTCCTCCTCCTCCTTCTGTCGACCTCAGGACCTCCTCCTCCTCCTCCTGTCGACCTCAGGATCTCCTCCTCCTCCTGCTGACCTCAGGACCCGCCCTACTCACCCCAGCGACCTCCTGCTGCAGAAGGAAGAGAAGAAGGACGCGGCTTCGGCGGCCGAGCTCGGGCTGGAGAACGTGGGCGGCGTCTTCGTGGTGATGGTGGGCGGCATCGCCCTCGCCTGCCTCACCGCCTGCTGCGAGTTCACCTGGAAGGCTCGCAAGCTCGCTACGGACGACGGGGTGAGTGACACAGGGTACAATGAGCGTGACAGGTGGTACAATGCATGTAACAGACGGTACAATGAGTGTGGCAAGTTGTACAGTGTGTGTGTGGTAGACAGTGCAACAAGTGTGACAATTTTGGCGACGGTACAATAAGAGTGACAGATGGTACAATGAGTGTTAGAGACGATATAACGAGTGAGACAGACAGCACGATATGACAGACGGGGCAATGAGTGTGACAGACGGTACAATGAATGTGACACAGTATAATTACTGTGACAACTTGCTTAAATTTTCCGGCACCGATGCTCAATAGTCTTGAAATATTTCTTCTCCGATGCTTTAATTACCAGTAAATAATAGTAAATTGATACGCTTGTGTCCCGAGCGTGAAGATACAGGTGTGATTATTCAGTGTGTCAGTTCTGACTCTGTTGTTGGAGGCAATCACTCACGTCCCTTGACTGGTGTCCTTTCAGGTGTCCTTCAGCGAAGAGCTGGGCAAGGAACTTCTCTTCATCATCAACTGCAAGGAGAACTCCAAGCCAGTCCGGAAAAAGAGCTCGCCTTCCACCACCGACTCCTCCTCCATCTACGGATCCTCTAACTACGGTTACTCCGACAAGAAGTGACAGAACTAAACGCGCGGGTCACTCCATTGAGTCCAAGAGCCTTTAGAGCCGCGAGTTTCTCGATTCTTGGGTCAGCTCGTTGACCCAAGAGCGCCTTGAGTTCATTGTTCCTCCAGTCCAGGGAACTCTTACATGTCTTGGAGACCCTTGAGTCAATGAGTTCAACCAGTCCAAGAGTGCTTATAGCCACTAAGCTCCTTGAGTCCAGGAATTTCTTGATTCTATGAGCTCCTCGAGTCAAGGCGCTCTCCATACAACTGCACCACGAGCTCCTCAATTCAAGGAACTCTTTTAAGTCTTTGGAGTTCCTCAAGTCTAGCAGCTCCTAGATCTAATCCAGGAGTTCCTCGAGTTCAGTTGCTCATTTGAACTCCTTGGCTCTTCAGCAGGTGTGGTCGAGGTTGCTGGGCTGCCTTTACTACCCTCCTTCCCCGCCTCCCCTCTGACTCAACGTCCTCAGTGCTGAGTTTTTGAACAGCCGGCGGCTCTTCTCCTTCCACGGGCTCACCATAGCCCGTGCTGCTTGGAATTTTGTTCCAGGTAGCGAATCTTAAACAACAACAACATTCTCCTTCCATCCCCCACGGCAATATGCCATCACGAAAGACCAAATTATGTCTTGTGAGACAGAAGGATAAAAACATACGTAACCGGAAGATGTGTTCATGACACGATGTGAGATGGTAGAGGCATGATGGTGGAAGATGCGTTTGTAATAGGACGGGGGTGGAACAGATGGAACACCACGTTTTAAGACGTGGAACAGGTGGTGTTGGTGTGGACAGAATGGTATAAAATGGGTGTTCGTGACAAGATGACCGAAAACGCGTCGGTAAGAACGTGTGACTGAGGCGTTTCAGTGACAGGAAAGACTGAAGGAGATATTCGGGACGTGACAAAAACAGGAGAGTCGCCGTTCGGGAGAAAATCCAGACTGAGGCAGCTCAACATGTTATTGCACAACA